TGAGGACTGGGGACAACACGCTTAGGCAACCCTTTCTAAAAGTGGCTGTGAAGAGGAACAAAACAGAGAGGCTAAAGATAGAAGAACATGGTTGACTGCTGGTGAGCAGGTGTCATTCCCTCAACTAGCATGAGAGAACCTATTTCCCTCTGATGTTGACCTTGGCCTTCTGATATAATTTGACCAAAGAGATGTACAGACATGTCCTCAATGGAAGCTTGAATTCACTTGGCTGAATGGGCTTGCTCTCCATGAGAAGAACATCCCTTGAGGAGCCTCTGGATAAAGGAGGATGAGCCATATGTGACCACAGATTAGCAACAACCCATTTTAGATCTTCAGAATCCCAGCCAACCCATGAGAGCAAAAACAAATGTCATAGTATGTCTGAGACACTGTCATTATTTGCTGTAGCGTTACCATGGATGTAGAGGGCTGATACAAGGGGGAAATGGATGGTCAGATGGGGCTATTTTGAAGACAGGTGATACCAGACTGTGTTTACAGTCTAACCGGAAAAAGAGAGAATGTTGATGTCTGGGGAAGGTGAGCTTTGCAACATCTATGAGAAGAGCAAAAGGGGATAAGACTCCAAATGTGTATGTTGGGGCAGGGGTAGAGAGACCTTAGACAAGAGGATGGGTGGATCCTCCATTGTAACAAGAGGGGACAAGGTGGGGGCACATGCCAGACATTTAAAAGTCCAGTAGGAGAAAGATGAGGAGTTCAGATTGGTTGTACTTGAATATTTGAAGGCTTGATGAGGACGGGTCATTAGGACAGAGTGGGGCGGGGGGCAGTAGTGTTGAGGGGCCTGTGCCTGTGACTTGATTTTTCTTAAATATCTTTCTGATTTCTCCAGCAACCTAAATTCTAGCAAGTCTCACTTTTTCCTTGCCTACCATGAACTATTTCTTTTCCTGCAGCCTCTACACTCCCCAGCCCAGTCCAATACTTAAGTAGCATTTCTCAGCACCTGACGTAGGACGGAAGCATTCTTCCCCGTTCCCCCTGTCGGGCCTGAGCTTGATGAAACCTGGGGGCCATGCAGTCTGCACCCCCCCAACACACCTCACTGACAGCACAGTGATGATCTCAACAAGGAGGCTTCATAATCACTTATTAACTGGCTCAAGAAGAAAAAGTATTTGTCACTGTTCCCTCTGCTAGGATAGTTGACTTGAACCAAAACAAATCAGGCAAGACCTGCTGTTAAGTCAGCCACCAGAACTATTGTTTCTGGAGACTGACATATTTTCTGGTTTGAGGCTATTTTTTTCCCCCACTTCTTAGGCCAACTTCCCTAAAGCCTGATCCATTTTCTTTTCTTGACTGCTTCAAAAATTCTTTCATCAATTCTGCCTTGGACATACTGACATCTTCCCAGGGAAAACAGAAGGGTTATTTTCCAGTTGTTCTTTAATGTCGTTGCTTAGAGGGTTTTCTGTTTTATTTTTAATGAAACAAAAAAGTGCCGGATCTGACAGGTGATGGCAGGGAGCCTCTGCTTCATACAAGGGGTCCCAGGAATAATGAACAGCATCATACTCCCCCCACCTCTACTGTGGATTTTCTCTATACCTGAAAGACAGCAGCAAGAGGGGCTCGAGGAAGACGTTGCCCTCAAGTGCCGTGCCAGCCTGAACCCTGGGCCTGAGTGGACCCTGACTCTCAGTTTAAGGAAACTGAGGCCCTGCATCTCCATCTTCAACAGCCATAGTTATAGGTGGAGAAATCAAGACTAGTCCAGAGACATCTGCTTGACAACAGGGCACCAGCAGGGGAGGGTGCTCACCCTTCCATCCCCTGGATGACATCCCCTCCCCAGTTTTCATCATTTCCAGATTCCAGAATTATCAGGTGGATCCACTCTTGCTTCTCTGCTGAAATAAAGTGTCCCTCAAGAAGGCCTCCAGTCCAGAGGCAAGTGGGGTGAGGGTAGCCTCTTCTGAGCTCCTGGGGTCACCCTAGTCTCACCAGCTAGCCAACAGGGACCTTAGCTATTTCTCCCACCTGACTTTGAGCTCTCTGAGGCTGGAGCTGTATCTTATTTGCCCATAATTCCTTCCATAGCAGTGTGCCAGGCACAAGTGGGTGCCCAGTAAATGGTTTGTTATAAAGGTCTCCCCACTATCTGAAGGTAGAATGTACCTATTTGTTATGATTTGCTAGATTGTTCTGGGGGGGTCTAGGAATGCTCAAACATCTTTCCATATAAATTAATGGCAAAAGCATTCCCAGACTCAAAAAATAACCTCTAAATAGTGACATTCTAACTTTGGATAGAGGGGAAACTAGTACTCTTATGATGCAGGGAGACAAAGAACTTGACCTGCTAAACTATGAACCTCAGCTCTACCTCAACTATGGGACCTCTGGCAGTCACTTCATCAAGGGACTTTCTCCCCATTAAAATACCTACCTCACAGGGAATGGGAGGGTAGAATTAAATCATGCGTGTTTAAAAGCTGGTGAGTATTTTACAAAGGTTAAGTCACTAATACTAATTCATACTGAAGTTTAAAGACTGAGTTGTGTGTACCTCCACAAAGGAGCCTCACTTTTTAAGCAGACCCTCTGTCCTCTTCGTGGAGGGCTGGGTGCTGCCCTTCACCAGGGCAATGTTTCCTCCATACCAGGCTTAGAGATAGGAATTGCATTTGTTTTGACTTGGTGTGTGTCAGGGGGTGGGTGCTTAGGGCCCTTATTCACAGAATACAGACCAGAGGTCCACAGACTATGCCCTACAGCCCAAATCCTACCTCCCATCTCTATAAGCACAACAGGTGGGGTAAGAACAGCTTTTACATTTTAAATGGTTGACAACAAGTCGAAAGAAGAGTATTTTGTGAAACATGGAAATTATATGAAATTCAAATTACTGTGTCCATGAGTGAAGCTTTATTGGAACACAGCCACGCTCGCTTGTTTACATGTTGTCAGTGGCTGATTCCATGCTGCACCAGCCACGCTGAGGAGTTGTGACAGAAACCATATGACCTGGAAATTCAAATTATTTTTCAACTGGTCCTTCTTTTTCAATTTTATTATTATTATTTTTCTTACATGTTGCTCATTTTTGTACACTAATTGGTTACTCTCTTCAGGTATAGCCCCCGTAGTTCTTCTGCCACCATAGCACCCACGACCCATCACCACAGTCCCTTGTGGTCTTCCCTCTCTCGTTTCAATTAGTCCTTTAATGACAAAGCTTGTCTGCCCTGATACATAGATCTCTGTTTGTCCCAAAGCTACTCCCAGAAAAGGCTTGAGCATGCATAAGGATTTGATTCTGGGGATTCCACTTTAAAGTGGATGGTCCTCAGGAGGACACCCGGGAACATGCTGGAACTCAGACATGTGTGACAGGAAGACACGTGAGCCTTCAATTATCTGAAGAGCTGTCATGAAGAATGAAGACAAGGATAATTCTCTGTGGCAAGAAGAAGGAGACTTGAGACTGAAGGCCCATTTCAGCACATTTCAATATGAGGCAGCATCCTGGCTGGCTGAGCTGACCCAAGAATAAGCTCCCTATTGCTACATATTCCCAAAGCAGTGAATGCATGTCAGGAATGTAAACTGTGATGATCAATAACCAGTTTCTGGTCATCATTAGAAATTAACTCATCTCAAACTGCCTCCTTGGGCCTCCCTGGTGGCACAAGTGGTTAAGACGCAACCTATGAAGCAATCTGCAGCCACTGCAGCATGAGTTCGATCCCCGGCCAGGGAGCTACCCACATGGCGCAGCAGACCTCTCCTGACTTGCCCGCTGCTCCCCTCAGCAGTGCATTTCAGTCATTCTGCCTGTTCTGTTCCCCACTCTGTCTCTAGTGAATCCTCTCACCTCCCACACCTCTGGCCTATACCCCAGCTCTTGTATGCATAAAAATAAATTTTTTAAAAAATGGCCTCCTTAACTACACCGTGAATATCCACAGGGTCAGCTATCCCTGGCTGCCACAGTTCAATTAAGATTTGATCGCCACTCATTGGACCCAGAATGGCTCTTGTCTGGGGCAGGACCTCCTGGTCCCTTACCTTAGTTCAGGGTAGGGATAAGAGAGAGAGCAAAGCTGCCCTTTATGGCTGGGAGTAAAACCCTTCTGTCTACCATGTGGACTGGGGAACAGAGGAGGCTGCTCTGCTAGGGAAGACACAGAGAAAGGAAAAAGGATAAGATGGAGAAAGAGGTGTAAGAGCCCCCAGCAGCCTTGTGGTCCCAGCCCCTAAGGTTTTCTTGAGCTCAGGTTCCATGACCATACTCTGGACCACTACAAAACAGCCTCATTTTGAAAAAGCTAATTTGAAATGGATTCTCTGACTTCAAACTCAAAAACTTCAAGTAATGTAATTTTGAAGCAAAAGAGACTCAAACTGCGATAGCCTGGTACTGGGAACTAAGATCCTATGAGCCAACCTAGAGGAAAGATCATGCTACTTCAGCAGCAATGTCCAGGAAGCCTGCACGACCTAAGCAAGGACCACAGACCCTGTATGTCAATTCCCTCATGCTGCGTTTGTGTCTCTCCTCTTTAGAAGAGGCTAATGCGAATCCATCACACTGCACTGCTGTGAAGAATAATGAATAGCACCGTTAACAAATGACAAGTGCTATATTTCTTATTATTATCTATCATGTATACATCACTTTATTTCTGTAGCATCCAGGAGGTATTGAATACAAATGGATGGAAAAACACTTGCAGACTTGCAGCCTCCTAGAAGGAAAAACATCGGTGAGCACAGAGCAGGAAAGCTGCCTGGTTCTTCCCCATCTTGGAGCAAACTCAGCTCAGTAGGACTTAAGAATCCCGTCTCAAGCATGCTGGTTGATGAAACCAGGAATCCAGGTCATTGACATTGGTCTGAGTGCAACGGGATCTACCCCGGCTGTAGACTGTGACCTGACCTCATTTGGAAGCCAATGTTATATGTGTCATCAGGGAGCCATGGAAACAGAACATGAGCAACATGTGGCCAGCTGCTGTCCATTGTTTGCTCTGCAATAGGATATGACAACGGGATGGCCTAGGGCCGCCCTGGATCCAGTTTATTCCACATGCCAGAGTTTACCACTCCCCAGGTATCTCTCAGCTTCCTCTTTGCTCTCTCCATCTTGCATATGGAAGATAGAAGTTGATGAGTAAGTAATTTTCTCAAAGAACATGAGACTGGTCTTGAGATTGAAAGACATAAGCTGCCTCTGCTCCAGCAATGAGGCCCCTTTGAAGGAGACATTCTAGGGAATGTGCTGGATGGAGGACAAGGACTAGAAAATGGGAAAGTAGGCTCTGGCCCACTGGTGCTCCAATGATTGTGGCCCTCTGTAAGCCATTCCATCTCTGCAGCCTTAGTGGTTCATCTGGCCAATGAGCAGATTGAACTAGGACCCAACTCAGAGCCACGAGGTAGGATGAGAGTTTGGTCTCCCCAAAAGGGTGAGGTAAGCTTTTTTCAATAGGCCTAGAGTAAGCCTTTTGTCACCTTGCCATGGGACCTAGAGGTCAATCAAGTCCTATGAGCCTTAGGAGGTCTGTTGCCATTACTTAGAGAATGCAAATTATTTTGGGTTAAGAGCAGTGAGGATCAAGGGCTAAGTTAGCTTCTTCCCTTGCCCAAGTCCCCTTCTAAGAGGAGATACCTAGAACAATGTAATTTGGAAGTTTTCATCCAGTTGTCAGTTTATCAGAGAAAAAGACTCTTGTCTCACCTCTCAGAATAAGGATGAAATAACACCCCCTCCTTATCTATCATGTGAAGTCTCCTCTCTCTCCTTGATGCCCCAGGTCCCTAAACATAGGCTAAATATCCGTGGCCCACACCAATATTCTTTCAAATTTCTAACCAAGTAAATTCTCCTTAAGTTTGTTATTAAACTGATTGCTTTTTTCCTTTGTTAACCCATCTGATGTTATTTGGATTACTGATCCAGCCTAAGAAGACAGAGGGGTATGGGATGATTTCCTTTGTGCCTCAACAAAGAGTATCACAATCAAAATGAATTACACATCAACTATAGTCAATAAAATAAATGAATGAAAAGCTTCAAAAATAACAACAAAAGATCAAAAGGCCAGGAGTTGATATAAAGGAATTCCCAGGTAAATATCAATTCTAGAGTAGAATCAATGAGCACATATACTCTAACTGAGTCACTGATCATACAATTAAAGTGCTGATTCATTAGGTGTCAAAAGCAGTCCAGTCATGGAAGCGACAGAGGGTAGAGAAGTAAGAAAGGTAGCAAACCTAGAAAAGCCAATGTAGAGATGACTTACTCCTGGTAGAGAATTATCACCTTCATGTCACCTTCACAAATACAAGGTGGGGTGGCCACAATGATCCCACCCAAGTCTGAGAATTAATGAATTGCAACCTCCTTTCAAACATGGTAAAATATGCACCAGCCCCAACAACAGAACAATTGCAAGTTTAGGGTTTGACCCAGTGAAGGTTCTGCTTTAATTCTTTCTTACCCAGCACTCCCTGGGAGACACAAAAAATCATCCAAAAGAAGACAAATGCCAAAGTCTCTACCTCCATTTATATCCAAATGGTCTTTATTTTCCCACTACCTGTCTTTGGTCTTGAAAAAGTCACCTGCCTATTCATCAAGACAAGTAATCATACAGTCCATGGAAAAATAAATTTTAAAACTCGACCCTCACAGGGGAAAAGCAGACTCACTAAAAAGAGAGGAAAATTTATTTCCAAGACCAGCTATTTAATATCCTAATCTTTTCCAGACTATCCCCCATAGTAGTTATTAAATATATTTAGCACAGCAGCTCCTTCCTGCAGAAAAAGTTCCCAAAATCACTGCAAGACTTATGATTTAAAGGAAGTCTCTCTACCTTTCTGTGCCTAGTGTTCTCATCTATAAAATGTGAAAAATGGTACCTGTATTAGTTTTCCACAGCTGCTGTAACGAATTACCACAGACTTAGTACCAGGAAACGACATAAATCTATTACCTACCGTCTGGATGTTGGAAGTTCAATATAGTCTCACCACCATAAAATCAAGGTGTGAGCAGGGTGTGTTCCTAGGAAGAGTCTGTTTCTGCCCTTTTTCCAACTCCTAGTGACTACCCCTATTCTTTGGCTCACTTCCTCTTCCCTCAGTAGGTATCTTCAGAGCCCACCAGAGTGAATCACTTCCTTTACTGAATCGCTCTGACTTCCTCTTCCGTCCCTGGCCTTCTCCTTTTAAGAACTCAACTACTTTCATTGGGTTCACCTGAGTAATTCAGGATCATTTCTTTTTTTTTTTAAGATTTATTTCTTTATTTATACAAGCACTAGGTACAGTCAGAATCACGGGAGGGTGAGAGAATTCACCAAAGCCAGAGGAGGGAGCAGAACAGGCAGACTGACGAAGTACACTGCTGAGGGGAGCAGCGGGCACAGCAGGAGAGATCTGTGTGCCATAGGGGACCCTTGCCAGAGGCCGGGGATCGAATCTGTGCTGCAGAGGCTGCGGGCAGCTTCGCAGCCCAGCTCTCAACCACTGCGCCACCGGAGAGGCCCGATCATTTATTATTTTAAGGTCAACACATTAGCGACTTAATTCCCCTTTGTCGCATAATCTAATACTGCTGCGGTTTCCCAGAATTAGGATATGGACATGTGGGGGCATACTGCACTCCCCCTTCCCTGTCTTACAGTGACTGGGCACAGTTTCCTCGACTAGCTGAATATATGGCCCTGGTCAAGCCTCAGATCGCCTGGGTTTCCTCCTTTGAAATCAAGGGCTTTAGTCTGAGAAGATCTTTAAGAACCTTAGCTTTATGGGACTGAGATACGATCGTTAAAAGACTCACTTCTGCTTAATGCCTTAGTTTGCAAAGTACTTACTATGTTTTCCCTCATTTAATCCTCACATCACTCCTGGGAAATACATAGGGAAGATATTGTGACTCTCCCCAACTTTGTACCAGTGTAATCTGAGAGTAAAAAATTAAACGTTTTGCCTCACATCACACACCCTACAAATGACAGTTATGGTTTCAAATCAGAATCTTCTGATAGCATGTTCTTTGTGAAAACCTGTTCTGAATACCATGGAAACAGAAATACATCGAAGATGGTCACCGGCTGTACCACCAACAGTAAGAGCAGCAGCAACAACAGTTGGCCAAACCAGAACTGTATTGATGGAGAGGTGTGGGGGTGGGGAGGGGTGGGGTGGGCAGGGGTGGGGTGGTGTGGGGGTGGGGGTGGGGAGGGGTGGGGGTGGGGAGGGGTGGCGATGGCAGACACCAGTCTCTGAAGTAAGTCAGGGCTCTTGGTCTCCCACTTTGGATTTCTGTCCCTTCCTGGCTGCGTTCCGTTGAAAGTGTCCTATCATCAAATTCCTCCTTTCCTGCTATGTGTCTACACACCATCAGCGTAGTCCTGGTTCTTAGTCAAGGAGAAATAATCATGATCCTCCAGCAGGGGAGGATAGGAGGAGGGTCTCATGGACTCTGGGCAGTGCCCAGTGGTCTCAAGGCCTTCCTTAACCATCATCCTGAGTCAAACCCAGCGAGGGGAAAACATGAATAATAAGCATATTTTTCTAGGAATCGAGGAAGGAGAGAACTAAAGATCACCTGAAGCTTTGTGAGATCCAGTGAGCCCATGTAGAGTTTTGGCACTTGGTGTCCACACAGAGTCTCGGGGGAGAATCCCTCTCTCACTCTCAGATGAGGTATGTGCTCTACTCTCCACCCTCCAGTCCAAGAGTGGGAAGTTAACTCCTTCCACTCTGACCACAGGTGACTCAAGAGTAGACACGCTAGACGGGACCCCTGCTGTGTGTAGCTATCAAGTACACAAATGAGAAAAACATCCAACAAGATACTTTCTAAGAGAGGCATGGGCGATAAGAAAATAAAAGTGCTTGTTACAAAGAGAGCCCAAGAGTATTCTTTGGACTTCTCAGTTGTGTGAGTTGATTCGTCTTTTGTTTCCTGTTGTCACCCAGGAGTCCTAACACCAATGCCCCTAATACAGTAGGGTTCATAGAGTCACGCTGCACTGACCACCTCAAGGCCTCCACAGACCCCAGCTCAGGACCTCAGAGACTCGCTCCAGTGATTGGCACTAACCAGCTACGCCAAACTTTCTACAGGGCTGGGGTGTTTCCTCACCAGTGACATGAGGTCATCTTCTGAGTTAATTTCTATGATCCATTACACTTACACCACTTTATGTCCTATGTCTACACAGTCAGAGCTGCTCAGACTTATAATTGGGAAGTGAGTAATCACAGCTGGTATCAATCACCATTGCACATCTCTATTAAAAAGCTGCAAAACAAGCATCTAACACTTGATCCGGAAACACACCAAATCGTCAGGGGAGACACAAACCGCACACTCAGCAAATACACTGCTTTCTGCAAACAAACACTCCAGTGCCTAATAAAAGTTAGTGATTCGAGATGATGCTGATTTTACCTGAAAAACCCACAGTGGACTCTGAGGAGTTCTGCCTCTATCCTTCACGGCTTATTAAGGGGGGAAGAGCATTGGGCAATTTGCACTGGGTTGGAGTAGAAGCATTTGGACCCTTTTCTGCAAGTGGGGACAAGCCGGTGTGCAGGCTCTTGTGACATGAATAGATTAGAGAACATGTTAGCATTCCGTTAGCAAAACAGCCCCTTTGTAAATAAATACACATGTGGTTAGAAAAGAAAAAGCACACGATGAAAAATTTCCTTTCTACCATAGCTCCCCCATTCACATCACCATCACCCCTATTTTGTTGATTACCCTTCCAGATTTTCTTATGCATATTAGAATCAAACACAAAGACACATTCTAATTCTTCCCCCAGCCCTGTCCACCACTTTATACAAGTTAGTATTGTATGTATACTATTCTACAACTTTTTCCCCTATTTGGAAATCAGATAAAAATACTGTATTTTTATATAGTTTTAATTTGATTTTTGAACTAAAATTGAGCATATCTTTTAACATATTTAGGATCATTCCTATTTTTTTTTCTGAGAATTGTTTGATTACAATCATTGCCTATTTTTTTCTAGTGGATTGACATACTTTCTCACCTGTTTGGAGTGGCTGAAAGTGATTTTTCCTCTGTCTTTTGTCTTTTCAGTTTACTTCAGATTCTTTTCACTCTTCAGGAGATTTTGTTGGTTTTTTCCTTTCAAATTTTATTGAGTCATCTAGCCTTCCTTCTTTTTCTGTGCTACATAATGCTTCAGAATTGTCTGTATTGTGAAGTTTGATACAGACTGTTCCCTGTAAAACCACTTAAACTGTTTTCTTCTTTGTGGTCAGGTACACATGTTTGGAAAGTTCGAGGAGTTTTCTGGGATTTTTTTTTCTTTTATATCTATTTTACATCATTCTTCCCTTTGGTACAATGTATGCTTTCTCCTCTCAGGTGGCGTTCCGGTAGAATTTCCACCACCAATTCACCCACATGCCAACACCACAGGTCCCTTATGCTCTTCCCTCCCATTTTGATCTATCTCCCTCCCCCACAGAATGTCTCTGATTTATAGTTTTGACTGTTAATTTTGTTTTTTGATTTATTATAATTTTTTTCCTGATCCCTTATTTGTTTCCCCTATATTCCTCCTATAAGTGAAACTATTTAATCTGTTTCTTTCTGGCTTATCTCACTAAGTATAATCCCTTCCAGCTCCATCCATATTGTTGCAAATGGCATGAGTTTATCTTTTTTGATTGCTGAGTAATATTCCATGGTGTATATGCACCACATCTTCTTGATCCATCATCTATTTTTGGGCATTTGGGTTGTTTCCATAGCTTACCTATTGTACAATAGCCTATTATAAATAGTGCTACAATAAACACAGGGGTGCAGGTATACTTTTGAATTAATGTTTTTGTGTCCTTTAGGGTAGATTCCTAGGAGTGGAATTGGGTCATATGGAAGCTCCATTTTTAGTAGTTTGAGTAACCTCTATACAGCTTTCCATAGTGGTTGGACCAGTTTGCATTCCCACCAGCAGTGTAGGAGCCCAGGAGTTTTCTTAATTTCTACCTTGGAATACTTTCTAAGGGCCAAGCAAGAAAAAATTATTCCTAAAAATTAAGAAATTTTCTATTTTGTTCTTTTTACCTTTTGACTCCCTTCACTTATTTCTCCCACACATCCCCCTCACCTTTGGCAACCACTCATCTATTCTCTGTATCCAGATACAGCTTCCACATATAAGAGAAGGCAGATGTATTTTATCTTTGATTTAGCGTAATGCCCCCCAGGTCCATTCATGTGGCCACACAGCAAGATATCATTCTTTCTTTTTTCATGGCTCTGCATATGTTTGGAGCCACACACAATTTCTTTATCTATTAATCCATTGATGGGCACTTAGGTTGTTTCCTTATCTCAGCTATTGTAAATAAATAATGCTGCAATGAACATAGTGTTTCTTTTTTAATATTAACTCTTTTTTGAGTTAATTATTTGACTTTTTCAGATAACTACCCAGAAATGGAATTGCAGGATCATATGGTAGTTGTGATTTTGAGGACCTTCTATACTGTTTTCCATGGTGGCTGTGCCAATTTACATTCCCACCAAAAATACAACAGATTTTCTTTTGCCCACATCCTTACTAATTAATAATGTAACACTTGCTAAGAAATAACACTTGTTATTGTTTATCTTTTTGAGAATAGCCATTCTAACAGATGTAAGATGATATTGTGGTTTTGATTTGCATTTTCCTGATGATTAATGATATTGAAGGTCTTTTTATGTACCCATTGTCCATCTGGATGCCTTCTTTGGGAAAATGTCCATTCAGTTCTTCTGTCCATTTTTTAATTGTTTGTTTGTTTTGGCTATTAAATTAGTTTATTATATTCCTGAATTATTTTAGATATTACTCCTTATCAGGGTTAACTTGCAAATATTTTCACCCATTCAGCTGCACTGCATTTTCGTTTTGTTGGTGATTTCCTTTGCTGTCCAGAAAATTTTCAATTTGATGTAATCCCATTTGCTTATTTTTGCTTTTTGACATCAGATTCAAAAAGGCATCACTGGGCCTCCCCGGTGCCGCAGCGGCTGAGCACTGGGTTGCGAAGCTGCCCGCATCCTCTGCAGCGCCGGTTCGATCCCCGGCCACCGGGCGAGGATCCCACATGGTGCTCAGACCTCTCCTGCTGCCTGCTGCCCCACCTCCCCCAAGCAGTGTACTTCATCGGTCTACCTGTTCTGTACCCCACTCTGGCTCTGGTGAGTTCTCTCACCCTCCTGCGCTTCTGACTATACCCAGTGCTTGTATAAATAAATAAATAAATCTTTTTTAAAAAAAGGCCTCACTATGTCAAGAAGCTCAATGCTTATGATTTCTTTCAAGAAATTTATGGTTTCAGGCCTTACAAATCTTTAATCCATTTTGAGCTAATGTCTACCTTGGAAATTTTGGATTCTCTTCAGGGGTCAGTCTGGAAAATTCTATTGCCTTGGAAAATATTCTAGTTCACTCAAATGTGTTTTCATGGAGCTGAGTAAATAGTTTCTTGTGGTTCCTTTAATTTCCTATTATTGTCTTTATTTCCAGGGTATCATTTCTTATTTTACATGTCTGTCCTGTGCCTACATTCTCTTGATGAGATTTACTAGTAGTTTATCTATTTTATTATTGGTTTCTTCCCTAAAACCAGCCTTGAAATTTATTTCAATTGCTGTGTTTTCTAACTCATTATTTTTTACTTTTATCTATTTCTTCCTTACGCTATAATCTAGAGGTGGGGAGGTTTCTGTTGTAACTCCTTGACTTAGACAGTTAAGTCATGTGCTATCATTCTTTCGTGTAAATATTTTAGCCATCATTTTTCCTCTGAGTACCGCTTTAGCTATATCACATCTGTTCTGATGTTTAGTTTTTATTCATAGTTATTTTCCAGAAAATCTGCAATTTCAGTTTTTATTTCCCTCTTCAAGCCAAGCATTGAGTGGTTTGGTTTTGTTTTTGCTTTCAGTGGAATGGTCTTTAGACTTTCTGATTAGTTATTAATTTCTAGCTTAATTGTACTATAATCAGAAAATAGTGCTTGTACTTTTTTCTACGTTTTGGGATTTATTGACGCTAGCTTTGTCTCCTAATAGATGGTCAATATCTGTGCCTGTTTCATGGGCCCTGAAAGAAGCATTCTCCTCATTTAGCCTATAGAGTTTGCTATTTATCAATCAGATCCACTTTATTACCTATGTTAATTAGGTCTTCAATATTGATTTTTATTCTTTGTTCAGTTAACTGGAGACCAAAACATGTAAATTAAAGTGATCTCTTGCTAGTGTGTTTTGATCTATTTCTCGTTATATCCCTTAACTTTTTTTTTCAATATTGCTGCTATTTTTTTATTGTGAAAGATACCCTTTAACATTATGAAGTTACTTTCTCTTTCTTATTTAATGCATTTTAACCTGAATTCTACTTGGTCTGACGCAAGTTCATGATTACTACTATTCACTTCTATATTTTTTACTAACCTTTATAAACATTAGCCTGGGGGCCTTTTACTCATCCTTCCTGCCTTTCAGCCTTCCTATATCACTTGCCTTTAGGGGGCTTCTCTATAAACAAGATAGAATTGGATTGTGATTTGTGATACAATCTAGAAATCTTAACAGGTGAGTTAAATGCATTTACATTTATGTAAATGCAATATGACAAATAAGTTTGTGCCTAGCTCTCCTTGTGTACTACTTTTTTTTTGTTTGTTTCTCGGTATTGTTAATCTTACTGTGATTGTTTCTCCTGTGTGATTCTTCTGGAAAGGTTCGTGTTTTTATTCTAGTAGCTACATTCATAAGTATAACATTACATAATAATCTTAGCCTGTGACTTTAGACACAATTTTTATTTCTGTGCTATAAGCAAAGATAAAATTGGGATATATTCTCATCTTCCACTTCGC